AGCAGCATCAGTAGCAGCATCAGTAGCAGTAGCAGTAGCAGTAGCAGCAGGAGTAGCAATAGTAGTAGTAGTAGTAGTAGTAGTAGTAGTAGTAGTAGTAGTAGTAGTAGTAGTAGTAGTAGTAGTAGTAGTACGGTAGTACGGTAGTACGGTAGTAGTAGATGGACAAGAGCAGGACCAGCACCACCACCACGCCCAACAACAACAGCAACAATAGCAACACCGGCAACAACAACAGCAGCTACATCATCATCATCATCAACAACAACTACTACTACTACTACTACTACTTCTGCTGCTGCTGCTGCTCATTCGGCAAGGCCAGGAAAGCTGCCAGGGACTTCAGCACGGAAGCCAGTGTGACCTGAATTGCCCGGCCAGTGGCTCGGAGGAGTTCTCAACAGAGTTGGGGGTGGAGGGCTTCAAGCATTTTCCGGGCTTTCAAGCTCAGGAAGGATGCCCCCTAAACCCTAAGACGAGGCGCAGGCCCGGGTGTGGGATTTCTGGTCGTTTCATGTTTAGTGAGGTGTCGGCGTCGGGCAGGTGTGATGGGCTTCTACGGTATAGCCTTCGGCCTTATAGGGGTTCCTACGTGGGTGCCTTGAGGACATGTAAGCCTCTTTGGCTTCCCGACTCGACTGACATCCTGCGAGAGGTTGACTGCATGATGGACATTAGAGTCAATAGAGGTGCTGCCGCTTGTTATAGATGTTCACGACCAGCACTACAAAGATTGCTGCTTCTGTCGTTATTTACGAATAACCACACGAATATGTTCGATTGCACTCTGTAGCATATTGACCCAACCTTCTTACTATAGTCCGACTGACTGCTACCATTGATTATCCTTGGCCCCTAGCACGCAACCGTCGACCTAAATGCTGCAAGCCATGATCCCTACATATGATGCAAACTTCTTATGTAAGTCCTCTGAACTGTTAACTAGTTGCATCTTCTAGGACCTTCGTGCCCGACCACCGTGGGACTTCAGAAACGTAGGCAAGAAAACCACCGACAACAAGACTACTGCCGACGTTCGCAGTCGCATGGCCAGTTAGATTTTCGTGCCAGTGCTCGGAACGATCGAGGCAGGCACGCGCGCAAGTGGCTTCTTCCTTTGCCTCCATGGCATCTTCTACCACCAGGTAGGGTGGGTGTGGTGTTGTTTCAGCCATCGTTGCGTCAATTTGTCTTTACAAACTTGCACGAAACTCGAAGATCCCAAACCCTGGAGGAAGTCGCATCCTTTCTTCTTCCGTTTGTTGACTTGCCAGGCGCTGCTTCCCCTAGAGCTGCTCTTCGGCGTGGAGCACCCAGCGGGGGGGGGGGGGTTAGGGCATCTCGGTTCCTGTTGGGAGAGCAGTCTCGATACTGATATGGGCCTGTTGTTCATCGGAACAATCTGCACACAAGCCCTAAGCTGCTGGAAGCCTCACAAGTGATTGGGCCACTGAAGTTTTGGGTCTAACGGTTTAGGGTCCACAGTTTGTGTCTCAGTCATCCCTGCCTGGAATCGCTACCCCTCAGGTGCCGCGCTGCTACCAGGGCTGTGACGCTGCAGAGTTTTGTGGAGCAGGCAACCCAGATATCTTGGTGTGGGTGCGTCTGACCTGACCCGGGGGTTGTCCGTCGATGCTGATGCGTCGGCAGACACCGGGTGTGTTGCAGCGTTGCATGCTGTGCTTGAGATACTGAGTCAAATCAACGTTTGATGAACTTAATGCACAAATGCACCACACTGCTTTGCTGTGGGATGGGCGATAAATGCCGGCAGCACAAACATTTGCTGTGACAGTTGCTAGGCCGGTGTTCTGGAACACCGGATTGGCTGCACCATTGGCAAAGCATGCCCTAAGGCTGATGGCCAGCTCCTGCATGGGGAAAGCTGCAATGTCGTTCCTCGCCAGCTTGAGCCAGTTCTCGAGTTTCACACGTGGGTGGTTGTCAAAATTATGGTCCCTTTTTGGGTCCTTATTATAATACGGCAAGGGGTACCCAACAATGGACCCTAATTTTGACGACCACCCACGTGGCAGGTTGACAAGATTCATGATCGTATGGAGTGAGAAATTCGGTTGCCTGTTCAAGAGACCCTATGTGCTATCGGGTTCAGGGTATAGCACTTATTTGGGGTTAGGGCAAAGGCAGAGCTTCAAGCCGTCACCACTGTGGCATTGCGGTCTTCTGCTGCCTACTGACCTACCGAGTCGCACCCTCTCTTTCGAAAACACTGGCAAACATGGAGGGAAGACAAGCTGGCAGTGCGCCAGCAAGCGACTCCCCTGAGCTTGTCGAATGCCTTACCGGGTCTTTTGTTGAAGTGAGCCTCACAACTTGTCACTTGTCATATGTGATCTCTTTCACTAGTGTATGAGTTTGCAAACTCTTAACATGTTGGTATCTGTATGTATCCAACAGGCAGGACACAACTTCAAAATTTGGGTTTTATGACCTGCAGAGCTGAGATCCAATTGAATCCTGTGCATGCTTGGAAGAGCTCACCAACATTTCTTGAAAAGTGATCCCAAATCCCAAGCTCCCGAAACCCTAAACCCTCTACTCCCTAAGCCCCAAAACCCGAAGCTTCTCCCCAAGCCCAAACTCTCAAACCCCAAACTCGAAGACTCTGGGCCTTGAGAGAGAAGGTTTGCCCAGAAGGATCCACGCCGGATATCGCCGAGGCATGCCCTCAATTAGCTCTCTCTCTTGCTGAACTCCGTTGAGGGTTCAGGGTTATATTGCTTTCCTCGGATGAGCGGGCTCTCGTTGGGAATTGGATCTTACATTTCATTTCGGGCTTATGGGCTAAAGCTGGCTTTAGCAAGTTGTTATGTTGTCTTACTAGGCTGTTAATTTTAAAGGGTTTATGGAACACATATGTTAATAATTACGTTGCGTTCAAACGGGCCATGGGCAATCTCTGGCGATAGAAGTTTTTTGTTTTGCTGTTAGGCATCGTCCTTTCGCTTACTTTCAAGTCGCTGTGCAGATGATTGAGCTGAACTGCCAAGAGAGTTGAGGTTATTCTGAGGCCTACCCATAGGCCTCATAGTAGTTCCTTTTTAGGTTTGTTTACCTTATAATATTATAGGATTCTATTCGTGAACCCCAAAAAGGAACTACTTTAGGGCCTCTGGGTAGGACCTAGGATCTCCGTTAGCAGTACGGTGTACGGCTTTGCTTGCCCTGCATGCAGCGTTCCTCTCACCGGTCCGAAGAAAGGCAAAACACGGCTGCGTTAGGGTTTAGGGTTTAGGACAGCAAGATGCCGAGCCGCGCAGCCGCGCTTTGCACCATGGGCCTTTCAGGAACGGCGTTTGTCAGTCTTCACCGTCCCACAGCAACTCCAGTGCGCAGCCAGATCTGCACCACGGACCCTGCAAGCTCAAACCGTGCCTTCCTCAAAGGGGCCGGTGGTGGCATAGCAATGACAGGAGCTGTAGCTGCTGCAGCTGGCCAAGTGCGTCGAGCTCCGCACTGCAAGAGAAAAGCCACTGTGGCTATGCATGCAAGAGGGGCTGATGATACATCCATGAAGGTTGCGTATGTTTTTGCCACCAATATGAGCTCCACCTTCAAACTTGCCCAGATGATCTTGCCTCAACTCGAGAACGGCAATCACGGCGCACAAGTGAGTGGGATGATGTTCTTCGACGACAATATTTTCTGCCTCAAAAAGGGGGACCCAATAGGAGAGCGTTTGGCCAGGGTGGCCAAGGAACATGGAATTCTCCTGATGGCATGCGATCAGTGCGCCATCAGACGGAACCTGGCAGACGGGACTATGGAGCAGTGTGGCAGTGGGGAGGTGACCCCCAAGGGTCTTTGCGATGGGGTCATGGTCGGCTGCTTTCCCCAGCTCTACGAAGCCCTGGCGGGTGCGGGCGTCCACCAGGTGATCTCATTGTAGGAGCGCTCGGACCAGCTCCATTCGAGGGTCTGCGCGAAATGTGAGCAGGGGCGGAGGAGAGAGAGGCTCTTCCATGAGGCGTCGGAAGCTGTGAAGAGGCTCATTGCAAGATGCGTAAGACAAGAGGGGTGGCAAATTGATTTGCAGCTACAAGCCTCGAGGGGGATGCATAGCAAAAAGGCGATCACTCACCATGCCGGACGACAGCACCTACAGTACATGGGTAGTTCTCTAAATTAGGGTCCCTTTTTAGGTCCCCATTATAGTACGGCACCCTTTTAAAAAGGACCCCCAAAAGGGACCCTAATTTTGACAACTACCCACATGCAATGGAGGTATGCGTTGATACATTCACACATACTCGTACATACTTCCACATGTACATACAGATGTAGATGCGTACATACCTACGTTACATATCTGCATACATATATAACCCTAACCCCCCAGGTACCTACTATATAGGGTACTAGAGCCCCCTATAGGGCCCTATATAGTAGGTACCTGGGGGTTAGGGTAAACCCCTTGCACCCCAAAGCTAGAGCCCTGAACCGGACAGGTGAGCTGTCGCGACGGCGTGGTGCAACCAGTGGAGGGCCGGGCCGCCCAAAGGCTCCTTAGGAGGTGTTTTGTGTGATTGGGTTTTGGGTTTAGGGTTTAGGGTTTAGGGTTTAGCGTAGAAGGCTTGAAGTCACTCTTAAAGAGTCAGAGAATTGTTTTTTTTGTTGCGTCCAATAGGCAGTCCCGGATGGACTCTTCTGTGTAGTTAAGGGGAGGTGGATGCACGTTTGGGTTTACGATTTAGGGTCTGGGGTTTGAGAGTTCAGAGTCGTTTCCGGGCAGGCTTGGGGATTCAAGGTTGCGAACATTAAGGGCCCGAAGAATAAGTGGGATCTCCTTCAGGGCCTTGTAAAGCTATGGCGAACTCTACCCGAAAAGCCCTTTCCAATCGTCGAGGCCCCTGTGTTGGGTGCCAGATTGGGTCTTAGGGTTTTGATTTTGGGTTTGGGGATGACTTCAGGGTGGGGCATGCTACGATCCTAAACCCCATGCAAGCCTAAACGAGGTCCTGACAATACCTGCGTTGATAGGCTCCGTAGAGTGTTGAAGACTCGGAGCTTTGGAACAGGTCCCGAGAATAAGAGAACACGAGGCCCAGACTGCGTCCCAATGTGCATCTCGGGCCCTGACGTGGCCTTCGCCACGAACGTCGCGGACTGTGCCCGAAACCCGGGGAGTTCAGAGAAGGGAGTGGGTGAAAGTTGGAGTTGAGGTTTGGAGGGGGGGGAAGGGGGAAGGGGGATAGCTGGGCTTGCAACAGGGTTTAGACATGCACTTTCCCCGGGAGTTAGGGTCAGGGGTTTCTGTACCCTACTCAGAGCTCTTAGCGAGTCTTAGTGTCTTGCTTGTTTCGTGGGAGTCTGAAGTCCGTAATGCCGGATCCGAGCCATGGAGCTTACCTCATCAAAACAGGCGCAGCCCCGAGAAAGCCTGAGTTTCCGGTCTGTATTGACTGATCCAAACACATGTGGGAGTCTCCGAAATAATGGGTACCTTGTTTTGGGGTCCTTGTAATAAGGATCCTACTATTTAGGGTGCTATATTAGGGTCCCCTATTTTCGGAAACCCCCATGTCCCAACACACAGATGCCTGAGCTCTGGCGGGACTGTACTGTAAGGACCAGTTGTAAGCCTGCTAGTTAGACAAACTCATACCGATCCTGCACGCGGAAGTCCTCCGTGTGTGAACCGATAGGGGTCGTGGAGCACGGAGACATCCCGCCTTCGAAACTCAACGTAGACACCCTTCTCGAAGCCCACGACCTAAATAGTAAAGTCCCACCCCTAGACTTACAAGTTGTATATAGCCTGAGGGGGAATAGCAGAATTGTTGCTCCCAGAGTCATTCTCGAGTTGTTCTGTAATTTCATGGGGACGGTTGTTTCGGATCAAACCTTTCGAGGCCCACTGTTTGCAGATGCTTCACTTGAGAGATTGCTGGGAATGGATATTTTTTGCTGCGAATTGGCAATTACAAGTTGTATATTGTATGCTAGGCCAATAGGGCTTGGGTTTGCGAATTGGGACCTTCGTTATGATCCCAATCTATCAAGTGCGCCGGAAGCATGTGCAAACCTGATCAGCGTAAGCCGAAAAGCCGAAACTAACGGCATCCCAAGAGCCCGACGCCCCACTGAGGAGCTTCGACTGTGGTGCAAGTTGGAGCAAGTCATTGGAACCTCGTAGCAAGTTGAGGCTCGAGTTGTCAGTCGCTCGTTAATACTTCCTTTCATTTCCTCGGCTCTCTCGACATGGTTCGAGCGATGCCCATCCTCATGCTTCTTCTGCTCCTTCCTGCTTCAGGAATGCGGAGTGTGGAGGAAGAGAGCCGCGAGGTCGGGGAGCAGCGCGGCAACGTCGGCGAGGTGGCCGAGCACTATGTCAAGGAGGGACTCTCGGACACAGGGCACTGCCACGGCGAGACCACGACACCAGAAAACAAGAAGACAGCATGCGATACAGATAGAGATTGCAAACTTTGTGGTGCTGACTGGACCTGCTTCCACATGAAGGAAGATACGTACAAGATGAAACAGCAGCTGTATCCAGAGACCCAGTGGTTGCAATCCTACTGTCACCACCTCTGAGGCCTTTGTCTCACCTCACAAGACAGAGTCCTCGGAGTCGCTTCACCCGACTTCGTTTTTGCTCGTCCGCTTAAAAGAGGACAGCTGCTGACCCAGTGCATCTACTGCAGCAGGGCCTTGTTTTCAAGCCTTGCAGCTGAAGGGAATCGGAATTCTTGACCCCAGACTGGTTTGGAGTTTCAGGCACATTTAGGATTTCGAAGCTCCCGACTTTGCAACTAAGAGTGCAGGGCTGGGGCTGTCGGGGCCCTGGTCACGACACAGACGGCAGCCACGGCAATTATTGGCAGGCCCAGTATATTCACGGTAGGCAGGCAGATAGAGATAGATAGAGAGAGCGAGAGATACCGAGATAGAGAGCTGGAGAGAAAGAGAGAGAGATAGATAGATAGATAGATAGATAGATAGATACATAGACAGCTAGATGTGATAGAGCATGATAGAGCAAGAGAGAGAGAGAGAGAGAGAGAGAGAGAGAGAGAGAAAGAGAGAAAGAAAGCGAGATGCAGACATCTGTGTATAGCCTTCAGATGGAAAGCTCATCACAGACGCATGACCTTTTCAGCTCGCATCATCCTAATGCGCGCGATTAACCCTTCAAGCCACACACTAATCTCAAGCCTGTGATTTGCGTAAGCCAAACCCTCTACGACCCTAAGACCCAAGCTGGGTGCAGGGCACGGGGATCGCTGCCCAGGTGAATGTGGTGTCCGGAACGGTGTGCTCGATTCGGTGCGAGGCGATAGGGCCTATAGGGTCGGTATATCCAGGGGCCCGTGTTGCACGGGTTCCTTCAGCAGCCCCGTTCCGCATGAAGCTGCGGATCCGAGTCTCGAGGCTTAGGGTTCAGAGTGTCGTTGTTGGCTCAGTGTCCGCCCCATTCGCCCGTGAAAGCCGCCCAGACTTGGAGTTTTTAAAGAGCCGCTGCAGAAGTGTTTTGTTTATGTCTTCAGGCCGGCTATGCCAAGACAGGCAATCCTGCTGGCTGCTGAGCATGTACCATGGGGCGCATGGATTATGGTAATAGTTCCTTCTGGGATCTGTCTAAACGGGCTCACTCAAGGTTTGGGGTCTCCAGCATATTAAGACTTCCCAGCACAGTAGGCTGCAGCAGGGTATAGGGGTGATTACGTATACATGTGATTGCCTGAATGAGGGTAACATGAGGACTGCGACACCCGGCGCTCTACTTTGGAGAAGCCTTCGTAGGTGTAGGGGCGTGGCTCTGGCGCCACAGTCGAGCTTGAAAGCTTAAGTGAGCAGTGAGCAGTAAGGGTTATGAACAGACAAGGCAATGCCATCCGTCGTGCAGACTCGAAGCGGATCTAGCCCTAAACCCTAAACCTAAAACCCTAAACCCTAAACCCTAAGAATCCCCTCTTCACGAACCCCCACCCTTACCGCCCTGAGCCTTCTGAGGTCTGCGAGCGTGGCGTTTGGACGGAAGCACGCTGCCTGGCTCCGTGCTCGCAACCCGAGGCATCGGGGCCTCTTTCGCAGGATGTGAGGGTTTAGGGTTTTCGTAGGATGTGAGGGTTTGGGGCAGTTTCTAGGGCTCAGAGGTTCGGCTGCTAGGGTTTGGGCTAGAGTTTGGCGTGTGTTACGCCAGAATCCCTGCGACCTGAATCCTCTCCATAAACCCCCAAAACCCCCTAAAGAATACCCCCGGGCTGAGGGTTCAGGGTTTAGGGTTTAGGGTTTAGGGTTTATTGTTTAGGGTTGGGGGTCTAAGAAGCCGTGGTGAAACCTTATGAAAGCCCCCAAAACCCTAACCGGTTTTCGAGACAGGGCCTTCAAAAGTGTCGGATGGATCGAGTTTTGTTCATGGGATTTCGACTATTTGGTGTAGGGGTTTAGGGGATTTAGGGTTGAGGGTTTAGGGTTTATGGGATTTCGAGTATTTGGTTTAGGGGTTTAGGGTTTAGGGTTTGTGGGATTTCGACTATTTGGTTTAGGGGTCGGGGGATTTAGGGTCTACCTATAGTCTCCATTGTAGTTCCTTTTTGGGGATACCTTATAGAATCCTTACTACATAATTGGTTAAACCAAAAAAAGGAACTACAATGGAGGCTTTATGGGATTTCGACTATTTGGTTTAGGGGTTGGGGGATTTAGGGTTTAGGGTTTTCTGTTGCCTCACGGCTTTGCGCCTCGGGAGATGGTCGATTGGACAGGAAGGTTTCGGGGGCGGGCTTTCGGGTCGCAGGTTTCCGAGGTTTCTTATAGAACCCAAATCCTACCTTTTTCTTAGGGTCCCTATAAATCCCATATTAGGGTTTATAACAAGAACCTACGAAAAAGTGGGTTTTGGGTTCTTAGGGAATTTACTGGGACGACAGTATTTGGGCTCTGGGTGTCCTGCAACTTTGCGGCTCTTGGGCTTGGGCTTCAGGGTTTTATGATCTGGAGCTCCGGGGGACCCTAAACCCTAAACCCTAAACCCTAAACCCTAAACCCTAAACCCTAAACCCTAAACCGCTTCTGCAGTTCATGGCTTTCGGGTTGATCACGCTGTGTGGGTTCAGGCCCGTAGTTGCAAGTTCAATGTTGAGGGTTTAGGGTTTAGGGTTTAGGGTTTAGGGTTTAGGGTTCGATGTTGAGAGTTGCGTTGTTGGGGGTGTGCGGTGTGGGGTTTCAGACTGCACGGTTGCTCTACGGAATCGGTGTCCCTGTTGTTGCTTGCAGTTGCTTTCTGCAGGGCTCAGGTAGAGGATGGAACTATCCTGCTGAAAGGCTTACCGGTCTCAGCCTTAAGCCGGACACCCCAATCCTCAGTCTAGGGCCGCTTGTCGAACATCCCGAACTCCACAGAGTGCTTTGGGGTCGGGCCATGTATACTGTAAACCTCCATGAGTCCAAAAACCGAAGCCTTCCTGTGAGGCTTAGTAGTTGAGCTTGGACACCGAGATTGTCTTAGCCCGCAGCTTGTAGGAGGTTTTAGAGTAAGCTTTCCAAGATCACTGTCTACCCATAGGCCCTAAAGTAGTTCCTTTTTTAAGTTCAAATCCTATAAGGTAACCCCAAAAAGGGACTACTATGGGGCCTATGTCTATCGCTGAAGATAAAGACTCGGTTTGCAAATGCGGGACAGCTAGGTTGGGGTGGGCCGTCAGGTGTTTGACGAAATCTGGAGGGTTTACTATCGGGGCCTTAATTACCTGCGCCTTTTTGCGGGGTTCCTTATTGCAACTATATATAATGGAATATACCCCAAAGCACTACTCCAATAATTAAGGCCCCTACATTACCCACAGCACGCTGTTTGCCTCAATTCTGTTGGGGTCAACTAGGAAACGGAGAGGCTTGCTCCAAGTCAAAGGGGCTCTCCTTGCAAGTTGCGGCACGTGCAAAAATCGGCGCTGACAGTTTGAAAGGTTTCCCGGGCACAACTCTGAAGTGCCTTTGCACTTGGTTGGCTTTCTTCGGTGTTGGTGTTGATAGAAGGCCCTAAAGAACTACCAATAACATTTTTTTTTTT